TGTTACTGAGTCGACTTTACCTCATCACGTCAACTCCAATAACGCTCCTGATAGTGATCACCTTCAATTCTCGGCTCAGTCGCTTGATCGTCCTCAACAGTGCCGCTGCGTCCGAGCCGGGCTCCTGTCGCGCTAAAGCGAGAGGGTAATGGACTCGATCGTATGATGCCTGGACGGATGACAAAAATGCACAGGTCCTCATCCTAAGATACGGTTCATGTCCGACCTGGTACGTGAGGATAAGATATCGTTTAGCTTCCGAATCCGGCAACGACCTCGTTGTGGACTGCGGCACTCCACCACCGCCACCATTACGATGTCGCAAAAGCTCGAGATCTCGTCCTCTGTACAACAAGCTCTCCACCCAGGTTCAATCCCGGCACCCTCCTTTTTTACGTCAATATATCCACTGTGACCGTAGCATCATCGTGAACAGCCTCATGCTGACTCGTATCAAGCAACGCGTCGAATAGCATTTGCGCGAAGACCCCGAACGATTTGAAATTGCCAGTCCGGTGAGTAATCTCCTCGATAAACCGACTCGAGAACGTAGACGTCCACCTATGGGAAAAATATCAGATTCGACATGACCGACGACACAACCTTGTCCCTTCAAACCGCTCTTCACAAGATGCCGTCAAGTTGTCTCCATCAATTTCGATTTCGACAATATAATCAACATCGTGGAATCGCCGAGTGACACCTAATTGACACAACCACCGTACAGAACGGCCCTTCAGAAGCCCGCTATACTGAGATCAACACCCCAGTACTACTGTCGCACTTCCAAATGCGGTACAAAAATTACTATATGTATTATTGGTAGATAATCTCAATACGATAGGAATATTTCCTCTTACTAGTATACTCCTTTAATACCTTATATCATGGTATTCAATATACTGTTGTCTATAATGAGGGCGTAATCACACAAGTTGGTCATGGCGATGTGTGTGTGCGTTTAAAGTTCAACACCGACGCGCATTAGTAGTATATTTTACACGACAGTAGCTCATACACAGTAGTTATTTTTACACGGCTTAGATTCACATCGTCATCTTATGTAGATGTTTATCAGCAAATTTGATTTCGACATAAACCATTCAACGCCGAGGCAATCCTATACAAACATCCTCACCAAGTGCGG